ATTGATTGATTGATTGATTGTTGTAGATCAGTTGTTTGGGCTCGTTTATCTTGCTTCTTTATTTTAAACCGAGTTTGCTGGTTGGAAACGGGCTGGTCAACAGTTAACCCGTTCATCTAGGGTACGGCGTCGACAGAATCTGCATTAATTCAATGGATCATATAAAATATAGCTGTACTTTAGACAGTGATTTGCGATATTCATGCCACTTTTTGCATTTTGTCACAGTGCAACCTCAAACTTAAGTGTAATAAAATGGGATTTAGTGTTATGACAGACAGAAATGCTAAACAGTAGATCGAATTGTTTAATTTAAATCAGCAAACATAGTCCGATAAATACCAAACATTTTTTTCTGCTTTAATTTAAGGCATTTGATGGGGATTGGATGAGAAATAAAGTTGCTGTGAACATCTTTGTGACTGATTCCTGCTCATCCCGCATCAGAACAATATGGTTTTGTGGACATGAATCGAGGGACAGTAATGGCGCCAGAAGGTGCGATACATTAGCTGTAGCGAATAATAGGCGCTTGTCCTGTCTGGACCTGTAAAATATATCCATGGTGCTCACCACGCTTGCAGGGATTCTCCTTTAGGCGTTCCAACCCTGAAGCACCAATGGAATCGGCTCCTGCGCTCCACAACAAGGTTAAACCGTAAAAGGTCATCCATATTGGCTGAAAAACCCAAAGTGCTATCAATGTAGGTTCCAAAATATCTAACATTGCTAAATATTGTGACAGGCTGCAACAAGCTGTTATTAAATGTACGATGTCACACATAATGTTTTTTTTTTTCTTTTCTTTTCTGTCACTTCAAGGCAAGTAGATACGTCTTCCTTGTTTCATTGCTCTGGCTTGTTTTTTTCTTTTTTTTTTTGCTGCCACAATATTTATTTTTCCTTGCTCTGCAGAAAAAAAAAGGATGTTAAAAAAGAGGCTTTGCTGGTGCACAGCTTTTGCAGTGATTTATCTCCACAGGTTGTAGAAATCTTTATGCTTTGCTGTCCAAACACTTTTTTTTTTATCCTCACATTTCATAGTTCCGTCAGCTGAAACTATGCACAGGTATTCATTTTTGAACTTTTTCTTTTTCTTCTCCTTTTCCTTTCCTCAAACTTCAACATTTTTTGTGGAGATTTTATGCAACAGATCACCAAAGACTAGAGCATAATTGTTCATTGGAAGAAGAATGATTCATAGATTCAAAGACCGGGGAGGAAATCTCTGGCCTCGGACCCTCAGGTGAGCCCAGGGCTGCTGGAGGGGTTGACAGAAGCAAACTTTAGGATGCAGCAGGATGAAGGAAGCTTGCATTATTCAGAATATAAAAGAATAGAAATATCCTTTATTGTTCCACAGCTGGGAAATTCCAGTGCAACAGCATGTAGATTCACAAAAAGATATAAAACAATACAAAGATACATTCAAACTGAATTAAGAATAGTGGCCCACAAAGGCCAAAATTACAACATAAACTACTGCGCAGTTTATGTCACGTTTAAATCACACATGTCTTTGACCAGTTTTGATTATTTGCAGCTTCTCTAGAGTTATAACCATCTAGACTCTTCTCGGATTAACGCCCCTCTTGGTGTTGCAAAAGGTTTGATGTTTTTTTTTTTCCTTTTAAGAAACATAACATGACCTGTGCCTCAGCTGGGAAGGAAAGTAAGAAAAAGTAAAATGACAAAGAGACTTTGTTCAGTCCTGCACCAATGAAGGCGTCTGTTGGAGTTCAGCTCACACAGATGGAATATGTTACCCATCCATGCGCTTACCAAGATAAATAGCAGAGTAGGTATGACATGACATCCTGAAATGCTCCTTCTCCTCCTGAATGGCATATGCTTTCACACTTGCCCTTTGCTCATTCCACCACACTCCAATCAATACACCGCGACGGAAAGGGAAAAAAAAAAAAAGAAGAAAAGGCCAGCGCAAGGCGTTATCTCTCCCTTCTGTTTCCGACACAATTTTCTGCCACCATGAACGAATTACAGCTCCTTTCATAACATCTGTAGTGATACGCCTGCTGACCCCGCTCTCATTTGTCCAGCGCCCCGACTCCCCTCTCACCTAAAAGCCACAGGCGCCCTCACGGAGGCAACAAAGTAATTAGTATGCTGATGCCTCAGTGGTGTTGCCGTAACTAGACGAACAGCTATATTCCCCACATCTTCCTTCACGCTGAAGATGCCTCTGATGTGCGTGTGTGTGTGTGTGTGTATTTGTGTGTGTGTGTTAGCTGGAATGTGGGTTATAATGAGCCTGAAGTAACACAGCGGTACATACTGTTCTTGTCATAGTGAAAGGTAACGTTGATGGCAGATGCTCTCAATATGTGCTGTAGCACTGACTCATTCCCGTCTGTCTATCTGCCTCTCTCCGTCTTTCTGTGTGTCTCTCTTATTTGTGCGTGGGGTTGTGTAGTTACATAAGAATCCTCACAGATTCCTGGGATGTGTGCGCCGTTCGTTTGTGCAAACAAAGAAGCGAGGGAGTGTTACCATGACGATGGCATTAGAATCCAACCTTGCATCAAGCCATGTGTGCATGCATTACTGCGTCTTCTTGAAGTGTCTGCATGTGTGTACGGCTATGTGTGTGTGTGTGTGTTTTGCATTTGCTTCCATTAAACACAAACTGGGGGAGTGGGAGTTGGGGGGAGACGTGTCTCTTCCTGCCGTGCGTAAAAAGAAGAGGATTCTGTGAGGAAACGGTGCGCAGAAAGAGGGGAATCTACTGGAAAGAAAGGCACAAGATGGAAAAGGACAGGATGCAGGGTGCAAATGAGGATGCAGGGAAGTTAATTAGAAGGGAGGGGGATGCTGATTGTGGGCCCAGATGTTGCAAAAATGATCCTTTGATAAATTCTCCTCCTCCTCTCTGCAACTCTTCCCCCTCCCTCCATCTTTTCATGCCTGTGCATATCATTTTGCCAAAGCTTGAGAAGCCTGTGCACCTTTGCCAAAGCTATGAGTAAGCTGTGTGTGGGCTTGTGTAGTGTAGAACCCGTGTGTGTGCGTTTGCGTGCGCTGGTGTGTGTGTGTGTGTGTGTGTGTAGGTCCTTGTGGCCTGCCTGAATGTGAGCGCATATACTTGACATGACCTACTCTGGTTGGATTAGTGGTGTTTTCTCAAGAAAATGCTAGAGGGTGCGAATCTGAGCCTCACGATAACACGGGTCACCACTCCCTCCTCATAGGTTTCCCATCTGCTCTCGTCTCAAAGACCTCACTGGCTCTCTCCCAAGAACTCAAATCTCAGCCCCACGATATGATATGATGTTTATTTATTAAGCTCTCTTTCATGTCATCATAATTACGCTGGTCTTTGTACACATAAGGCAAATGCTAAATATACATTGCCATGAAAAACTGCTTGCCCTCTTCTTGGATTTGTTCACCTGGCTCTAGTTTTTTGTTATTTTTTTTGCCAGACAAAATTCTATAACCAGGTATAACCAGAAAGTATAAAACTCAGTCTCTAAATGTGGTTTGAGTTATTAATGACAAAGTTATTCAAATCACACTGGCTCTATGTGAAAACCAATTTCCCCCAAAATGGCTGTTTGCTCAAAAAAACAACAAAAAACATCAAGCATTTCCAGATACGTTTTAACTCAGCCGCTCTGGACAGTTTTCACACATAAATGGCGATTATACTGATGTTCCAACAACAATTTGATTTTTACGATGTTCTGCTGCATAAGTAGTTTGCTGCCCAGTATGTTATCAACTTTACTGAACACCATGGGAAATGTTGCATCATAGTCATCAGATTCTTGTTGATGCCAGAGGGAAAGTGTGGCGCGTCTTAAAATCACCGGGGTGAATATGTCAGAGGTGCAGCTTCGTAGCATCCAATCGCGCCGATGGTCCTGATCTTTTGATGCGCCCCATCATTTAAACGTCCACTCAATTACACCCAGAGTTACTGATTAACCAGCGACCTAAGTAGATCAAGTGGAGTCATGACTTGAAGAGTTTTGCCACACTCTTGCAAGCAAAACGTTTCCCTTTGGAGTTCGGAGTGACTCCTATGGAGTTTTGTTTCGATCTCATCAACCCACCGCTGTTTGCTTCGGCTGTCTATGAGTGTGTGTTTATTTTCTGCCTCAGTTCCTGTTGGATCAGGCGTGCTGTTGCTATAGTGAAACATGGGGGCCATTTCGGAAAAATACACTTTTATGAGAAACATTATGGAAATGAGGCTTAATGGAGCCTTGACTACAGCCCCTATAAAGGGTCACTGATCACTCCTCTTCGTCCACTATGTATTGCGATCAACTCTCTTCTTTCCTCGTCCAAGTCTTTGTTCAGTTTCATGGGGTTGTCCCAATTTCACCCTCTTCCTTTTTGAATTTTCCTCCCTGGCCTCCAAACCTTCCCCTAATCACGTCATCGTTTAGGCTTTCCGGCCCACCTCATCATCCTTTCCCCCTTTTCCAACAACAATCCCATCAATCTCTACTTCAGACATGCTGGCCGATCAAAAGATGCGTCGCCCCATCATAACATAGAAATGAGATCAATTGGCCAAAGCGTATTTAAAACTATGGCATCTGTTGAGTGGGGGAATGTGAAGGAGGAAGAAACAAATAATGAAAAATGAAGAAGTTAAAGGATTTAGAAGCACACCCTGCATGTCTGCGGAGGAATTTTCAGAGCAGGTCCTGAACAATGGCTCATCATGCTTCGTTCTGCGTGTCATGCATAATTGCTTTTAGATCCGTTCCTA